TAGGTGTGGTGATACGCGCTTATAGTCCCACCTACTTGAGAGTCTGAGGCAAGATCACTTGAGCCCAGGAGTTTGAGGTTGCAGTGAGCTATGATGATGCCACTGTATTCTACCCAAAGTGACAGAGCAAAACTCTGTCTCAAAAAAAATAAATAAATAAAATGTGCAAAGAAATTTCACAGCTGCTCCATACACTAGAAATTTTTTTGAGAGTGGTAGCAGCAGCAGAATCACACGGGGCAAGGATGAGAGATTCTCTGAAATCTTTTTCTGAGTCTATACTGGAAGCAATTATAGAATTTACATTTTAAGAATTTCACAGAATTTGTGATGATTTGGATAGTCATCAGTAAATGTAGAGACTACTCAAAGGGACATCACAGAGTCAAGATGGCTTAGTGTGGGAAGATACAGGTTCAAGCCCAGCCCTGCCAACTTAGCAAGTTCCCCATCTTAGTATATGGGAAGCCATGGGGCCTCTGAGTCTCAGGACCCTCACACATACCTGGAGAGGAGGGGACCAACTTCACAGAGCTTTTAAGATGAGATTTATGTATGAAATTAGACTGCATTCTATAAAGTAGTAAATAAATGTAAGCCATTCTTCTCATTTAAATCTAACAGTGGTAGAGAAAAAACTAGGCTTCACGTTAATCATGTAAGGTATAATTGCCCATTGGCCTATCAATTGTATATTAAGCTTACATTTGCTGTTTCTCCATCATATCAAATCTAACTCATCCTCAAAACTCAAGTTAAAATGTTACCCCCTATATAAATATTTTCTGTCCTCACTAGTAATTATTTGCACATGTATTTTAGCACACTGTGGTGATTTTATTTGATTACTTTGGTTTTCTTCTTTGTAGGCTATGAGCTTTGAGAAACAAGTCTCTTCTATCTTTAAATGATCAAGGATGAGATGTATGCAGAATGTTAAATGAATAGCAGGAGAAAGAGACAAAGGAAGTGGTAATGATGAGAGTAGTTTAGACCATTTAAGACATTTAGCAAAGGCAAAAATTGTATGAGGACCTTGTGTGTCTGGCCACTCCCTCACATCAGTGCTGGGTATATAGTAGAAGCTCAGGAGAAATTTCCAAATGAAAGAAAAGAAGAAAGGCTAGCCCTAAGCAAAGGTTTCTTTAGGCATAGAGGACTTCTATCATGTTTCACTTTCTGAAGTGCAACGCTGAACTGCCTGTTAGCATTAAATACTATTCCCTTGATGCCCAGAGATGCCAATGCAGAAACATTAGAACCTCCCCAAGACCTGATCCTCAACCCCTAGTCTTTTTAGAATGCCTGCTCCTTATCAAAAGGAATGGTTCCTATATCCCATTCCTGCAGAACTGTTTTATGCTCCGCCATTACTTGCTAATGTAATAACCATCAATTCCTGTAACCAATTATGGGTACTATAAAGCCACCTTACAGGAATGAAACGTGTCCTTCTCAGGAATGAAATATTTGATCCCTGAAGCACCTGAACCAAAAGACCAACCCAATAATGTCTGTATCAGGCACTGTCTGGCTGAATAGGTGGGTTTCAAATCACCCTGTGCCCCCTCCTACCTGGTCTGTGCAGGGCCAACACTGGAGAGCAAGATAAATGTAAATGTGTTTCCTTGGAAAAGACAGCCCATTGTAGGCTACTAATTAGACTCCTGCTTTTGTGAAATCCGAGTTTATTAAAGGCTTTGTGGTGAAGCAAGCTAGAGATAGCATGTTAAGAGTTTTATTATAATATGGGCATTTTCTTGGTGTACAGGATTCATTTGTGGCTACACAGCTGGATTCTGTAGCCAGTAACAGTTATTACATTGATAAGATATTTAATCTCTCAGAACAGGCTAATGTTAAAGTCTCTCAGGGAACAATACAGAATTAAAGCATGGACTAAGATACTTGCCTTGACCCCACCCTCTTCTTTTCTCCTGGGTAGAACATGTGTACTAAATGGAACCACAGGTTGGAAGAATAGCAGGCTTATCTATTTCTTGGTGATCTTTCCCAGTGTCCAGCCGAGAGGACAACAGATAACACATCTGCTTAATGCTAGCTCCCTCTTAAAGAAGAAAGGAGAGAGTCGCATTTTTCTGTGTTGGATTTGAAACCAAGATCACATGACTTACTCAGTTAAAACTGTTATGGAATGTTTTTTGGATAGTTTCCCTCTGTGTTCATAATGTCCTCAGTCCTAGATTTGCAAGGTTACCTCATTTGGGTCTCCTCTGTGTGCCAAATCTACATGGATATTAGCGTTACTAATCCTTTAAGAAGCCAGGAGTGTGAGCTATAATTGAGCTTTGAAAGATTTTGACTTTCGTCTCTGATCACTGATAATGTTTTTAATTTGGAGTTGGAGCTGTTCCCTCTGGTAATAGGGAGGGAGCTTGAGCAGACAGGGCATGCTATTGTTCTGAAATAGATGGAGCTTAAATTAGATTTTGGCCAAACAGGTATAGAAACAAAAACCTTGGCTTCTGTTAATGCCATGCTTTCAGAGAGTTCTCGATCTTAGCCAGCCATTTGCCCCTTTCATAATTAGCATAGTTAAGTACCACCTGAAAGTTGTTTTTCTTTAAATCCATTACTGCTGTACTTAATAAGTTTATTTGACTGCCATAAATGGAAAACTAGTTTTAAACTATTTCAATTACTTGTCCTTAATTGGAAGTAATGAAATAAATACAATAAACACAAAAGTTATTAAATCCTAGCTAGATAATATTGCTTGCCAAAGGTCCAGAGCCCAAGGCCTGTCTCCCTTATTTGAAAGAGAGATTAACCTGAGTTGAAAGCATACTAACACCACATTGCAGTTTTCCTTCAGGGAGTATGATGTACTGAAGAGAATCCTTTTTTCTCTCCTTAGTAATGATTTTTTTTCTGAGACAGTCTCACTCCTTTGCCTTGGGTAGAGTGCTGTGGCATCATCATAGATCACAGCAACCTCAAACTAGGGCTCCAGCAATTCTCTGCCTCAGTTTTCTGAGTAGCTAGGATGACAGGTGCCTAAATAACTGGCTAATTTTTTCTATTTTTAGTAGAGACAGGGTCTCACTCTTGCTTAGGCTGGTCTCTAACTCCTGAGCTCAGGTGACCCATCTGCCTGGGCCTCCTAGAGTGCTTGGATTACAAGCAGGAGCCACCATGCCCAGGTATTTCAGTACTTTTGATTCCAAGCAGTACTCAGCCTACCTTGAGAAACACCGCTTTTGAAAAACTCAATCCTTTTATATTGTGTATGATGAATGAGTATGTAATTGGGACTGGACCTGTGCAAAAGAATACCCCAAGGAAGGTAAATAGCACTGCCTCTAAACCCCCCAAATGTGTCATCTACGAAGAGTCAGAATAAGCTGACCAATACAAAGAAAGGAAGACATAGTAAATGTATGAAGCAAGTATCGGAAACACGCAAGTACTTAACACTAGAATGTGAGCTGCAGAGCAAAGACGGAGTTTTGTGTTTTGTTCATTGGTAGATCTACCCCCAGCTCTCTGGAGTGCTTGGCACATAGTATCTACTGAGTCAAGAATACAAACCACTCTGCAGTCTCCTAGCAGTGATACACATGTAAGGATCATGGAAGGAAATGGGTTGGCACAATCTAGAGAGGTTAAAAGCAGCAACATTTGGAGAGAATGGCTTGGTGCCCATAGCTCAGTGGTTAGGGCTCTGGCCGCATATATCGGGGCTGGCAGGTTTGAACAACAATGACAACTACAAACAAATAATTACCTGGGTGTTAAGGCGGGCACCAGTAGTTCCAGCTACTTGGAAGGCTGAGGCAAGAGAATCGCTTAAGCCCAGAGTTTGAGGTTGCTGTGAGCTGTGACGCCACGACCCTCTACTGAGGACGACAGTGAGAGTCTGTCTCAAAAAAAAGTTTTGGAGAGAATCTTGGAGAAAGTGATAGGCAGACACACACTATGACTCAGAACAGTAGGTTAAGTTTGTCTCATCAAGGTTGTGACCTGGAACAGCCTCAGAAATGCACACCACCCTCCAATTTGAATAAATGCTCCCCTTTCCTCAGACTGAAAGCCCTAATTCCCCTTCTTGCTCACAAAAATCACAAACTGAAGACTCACCTACACACCACAAAATGAACTGCTGTTTCAGCAAGACAAACCATCTTCTATTATGTAACTTCTATTCCATAAATGTGGGCTGCTTCGGGGGAAACACGGTTTGGGGAAGGTATGTTGTTAAAGATTTTGCTGTTTTTCTTCAATAGAAAATTTAAGTTAAGCTCCTGAAAATGTTAAAGTTAAGCAGTTGTGCCATTCTCCACAGTTCCCTTTGCTATTTTTTTGTTAAATGGAATCATTGTTCCCCTGGTATTAATTTGTCGTGACACATTTTGTGCTCTAGTGATAGCAGAGTCTCGGGTAGTATTTTTAAAGAATAAAGAGAAACAAATCAGCACGATTATAAAGGTGGAGCAGACGGTGCTGCTACTGGTATTTCTGAGTTAGCTGTATCTCATGAAGAGGGCCGGGTCTGCCTCTAGGAGGGAGGAGTCCTGTAGACAGTGCAGCTTCAAGGATTTGCTTGGCCCGCACAGGCTTTCTCAAGGGTTTCCGTTTTCAGAAATACGATGCCGTGAGTATTTCCCTCGCTAGTTAGGCAATACTAAATCTTCACCTCAATTATACCTGGAAAATGTTTTGCAGAAAGCTGATTTTTGTCTTCTTTCATACTAAGGCTAGTTTTTTTTAACTGAAGTGCAATCAAGTCTGACTTTTTTTTTTTAATTTTAAACAGACAGACCTAGTGCAGAACTAATAGGAACTAAACTTTTATGTGTTCTAAGCTGGCTGAAGTAGCACTGCATAGTTCTCAAATTGAACTTGAAGGTTTCCTTCAAGTCATCTCTTTGGGCAGGGGTACGTTTTGGTGTTGCAATTCCCAAGTCCTGCCCAAGCTCTTGGATTCTGTTAGGCCAAACTCCTGTATCAACTAATAAAATCATGCATTTGTCTTTCAGGTTCAGTATTTCTTCAAGATCTTGGATAACTAGCAGTATAGAAAAGAATGAAGTCACAGATTGAGGCATTCAGACAAGAGTGAATCACGCACGTGAGGAATGTGTTCATTCTTTTATTGTCCATTGTTTTAACCTGACTGAATACAAGATCAACAAGAGCACTGTACTCCTGGCAATTATTACATATGTTAGAACATGGATTTTGCACTGTAGACAACATTTAACACCAGTCTATGGGGTACTGCATTGCTTCTTATAAAGTTCAAAATAAAGATTTATTTTCAAACAAGTGACTTTGGTTTATTTCATACATTACACTTTTTCTTGCAGAAAAAAATAAAATTGTACAACTGCATAAATATAAAATTCTTCCACCATGAAAATGGTTAAAACATTCATAAAAGACACAGCACCAGCGTGTGATGCCTCCAGAGAAAGGAAAAAAGCAAAGAAAAAGAAAATGTACAAAGCAAATTAACTTGCCCTGTCACTAGCCAAAGTGACAGGCAGATCCAGATCTGACACAGCTTTAGAACATACTGGAGGACAGGAAGAGATGTCAGGACAGCATTCAGTACGAAGCACGACACAACCCATCACCTTTTTGTGTTTTTCTGTAGTGTCACTTAAAATTTAAAGGGCAGTTCCCCCATGACAGCCCCCCCGCCCCCAGCCCCAGGAAAAAAAGAAAAATGATAATAAAGACCTAACACCACAGGAAAAGACTATGGAGTGTGTTAAAAATGCTCATTGATGGGCCATTATCTTTGAAAGAGCCAAACCGAAAAAAATTTAAAAAAAGTACCATGCCAGTTTTATTCCCATTGAATATTTACACCTTGGACAGCAAACCTTGCTCACATAAAGTAGAAAACAGATACGGTAAAACATGGCTTGAAAAATGACCAGAGTATGCACCTATAGTACTGTACACTAAATAAAATACACAAGGCAGCAATACTTAGGGGCCAGAAACACTGCTTACTACAAGTCAGTTATGGAATCATAATTTACAGTAAAAATGGGCACGTCCCAAGGCTCAATTTTTATTTTTCTTTTGTCATTTACAGTAGAATAAATATTTTGTTGCTATTGCTACACTTTAAATTTACATTCTAACCTATTAAATGCAGAAAGCTAGTGTAAAGCATATAGATTAAGTGTAGGTCCCATACGTATGACAGTTTGTTCAAGACTAGTAGGTTTGTTTTTGTATCTTTTTTAACTTATTAAATGGCTAGTGGGAAAGATTTGTGCTTGTGATCAGCTCTTAACTTCAATTTTTACATCAAAACGTCCCTGAAAACGGTCTTTCTCACTGTACCCAATGTTCTCACCGTACGCCTTACACTCTATGCGGATTTCAGTGTCCATGGTGAGGTTGGTGAACTGTACAGCCAGCAGGGGCTGCAGGTACTTGGGCTGCAGGACTCTACCATAGTAGGGGTAATACTGCAGAGGAAAACCAGGGTAGTTGCCCAGTCCAAAATACTCCACGGTTCCAACTTTATCCTTATCTTCGTCTCGCTAAAAACCAGAATGAAATGGGACATTAACGGCTGATGTCAGGCATCACGACTTGTGCTCACATACAAGACTCAATCCTATGGAGTAGCTAGAAACTACTCTGATGGGGAAGAACACACACTCAGCCTAATCTACAGCAGCTCTTAGAAATACTTAGAAAAGGAGGCTATTCTTATTCTGCAAATGGGGAAACTGAGTCAAGGGCCAACTAAGCATTTCTCCAACCAAGCTAACAACAGAAACAGGGCCAACAATCAAACAGGGCCTAGAAACAGGGCCAACAATCAAAGTCAGAAACTCCTCATGTTAGCCCAGTTAGACGCTATTTCCAGTCATACTATCTTCAAATATTTAACTATCTGCCTCTCATTTTTGTGTCCATTTCCTTTCTTGGGGCCGGCATGGCACTGAGAATTCCTCTTCTTCTGCTTCTGTCTGTCTCTCTAAACTATCCATCAGTTTTGAGATATCATGGGAACCCATGTTGATTTTTATCTTAAAATTTTAGAGAAACCCAAACCACAAATTTTTATGTGACATTAATTAAAAAAAAAAAAAAAATGTTCGCCTCAAAAGTTGAACATTTGCTGCGGTCCAGAAAAGCACTTCTGTGGCCTTGTTCACCTCTCAGTTCTCTTAAGCAAATACTGCAGTGGATTAAATTCAGATACCTGAGTTTCTTATGCCAATGCAGAAACTGCTAGTTTAATTTTTATTATATCTTTCTGTCTTTTTAAGAAGTTTTACCTAGTATAGCTAAAACTCAACCTATTGAGACTAATACCTGGAAGCGGTGTTTCTTACTTCCTGTGTTAAGATTTGACCTCCAGCTCAATCTCACTCATTCTCCCCTCTTCTCCTGCCCGACCCTCGGTGACCCTACATGTGTCCTTACCTTGCCAGTGCACTGAACGGGCAGGACATACGGGCTGTACTTGAACATCGGGTAAGCCTCCAAGGACTCATTCTTGGGAGGCTAAAAACAAAATTCATATTGGTCAGTAGGCCGTAAATAATCTTTTAAATTTGTGAAAAATAAAACATGTTTGTAACCCAAACAAGCACACATCGGTCACAGTAAGTCACTCAAGATAACAAAATACTTCAGGATAACAGAAATGAATGACTCCCTGCATCAGTCTAGGAAAGTCTATGTTTGTGATTTTCTTGAAATGAAAATAAGTGTTCAAGGACCCACGATTATAATAATTATAATAATATATAATTATTCACTTTCTTCCTAAATCTACAGAAATAATCTATTAAATGGATAATCACCAACCACCTGCACATGGTAGTTATCCATTTCTATTTCTTAATTCGTTTTCCCCACCCAATTATTATTACATAGAATAATATAATAACATATTATAATTAAGCTGTGCTGTAGTCCAGTTCTAAATTGTGCTTCTAATGGTGACCCATACGCTTTGCTTAAGGACACCGAATAATAAGAGCCAATCCCCAAAATAATGCTCATTATTTGCTAAGATTACATGGGAAAATTGATTGACATGTCTGTTTTTATAAAATATAGGCTTTCTTCCTGAGCCATGAGCTAATAATGCCATCGTTTTACTTCAAAAAAGCCTTCTTTCAGTAAGCTTCCCCCTTAAAAAAAAAAATCTCCAGGAGGTGGGGAACTGCCATTGAAGGAATGTTTCTTTCCAATTCTGTTAGGAAAGTCCAATGTCAAAGAGGTCAAGGTAGCATTGCCCTATAGGAAGGGATGTGTTCAAAGGGTGAATCCTTTGAAAGGACCTAGAGTACATATTGAACATACTGCTGCAGAGAAATAACCAGAACCTTTGCTCCTACGTCTCTGGTTCGAATCTACCTCAGAAGTGTGATGAATACACACTGGATAGCAACCTGCTTACTCACATCAGCATAAAGTAAATCTTGAGATGGAACATTACATCCTGTAAGCAAAGTCAGACAAGATGGCCAGTTCTCTAGAGCAGCATGGAAGTTACATTTGGTAGTACTTTTTTTTTTTTCTTATAAAGAAAATGGATTACCTGCATCTGACTCTTTTGGAACTTTCTGTCAGCAATGTATTTATTTTTACAAATATGAAGAGAAAATGCTTATTGATTAAAAAAAAAAATGTTGTCAGAATCTAATCCTCAAAGAGTAAGTAAGGTAAGATGCTGGGGTACCATGATCTCTTGTTGAAAATAATTCCAATGACTAAATAGTGCAGATTCGTGTGGCGACAATGAGTAGGAAGTGGAAACAGCCACCAAGTGGAGACCTTTTTCTTAAAAAAAAAAAAAAACGATTGAAAACCAAGAGCTGAATTCACCACTTAACAGAATGTCTCTATAAAAGTGGGAAGAGATTTGAGGAGCCTCCCTCTGTGAAGTTCAAATGCCACTCAGTGTCCCTGATGAGGAACATCAACATCAAGGTGGTCACTGAGAACAGACAGGAAGATCAGTCTTCTTTCAGCCACATGGCACCAACTCCTTTCTAAATAGCTGATTGATCTTGGTCAAATGTTCCCTAGCAATATGAATATCAAGTACATCATGGCAAAATGGTTCTCACCATTTTTCTTCCATTATATCCTAGGCCACGTGGAAAGAAGATTAAAATTCTGTTGAAAAGTACATTAATTTCTGCAGCAATCCATCAAGCCAGCCAGTTTACCATCCATCCCACCCACTTAACTCTTTTTTTGCCTCTGGTAACAAACAGGGAGCTTTCAGGCGTCTTTCAGTTAACAAAACTTTTCATCTCTACATTGATTTCCTTTAAAAATATTAATCATGAGTAACAAGCATTGTAGCAACAAAACAATAGATAGCATCAAGAGGAAATCAGTGAACAAAAGAGCCAGCTATCAGTAAGAAAAAAGTTCATTTCTATTGGAACTAAAAACTACAGTTACATGGCAATGCTCAGATGGGAGATTGGGGGAAACTTGCTGAAAGAAGCCCTGTTTGGGGGGACAGGACAACACTATTTAACCATGACTGGGGGGAACATGGGAAGAGAATGGGATGTCCAGTTTTCCAGAAGTAGAGATAGCACTAATAAATTTTCCTTTTCAAGGATATAATCTCACCAAACGGTGAGCAATGGCAATTTGCCATTTTTCAGAACTCTCAAGTAATGTACCCATTATAAGTTGCAGCAATACAATCACCACTTCAGCTTCCATTTTTGGAATGAAATCATTCCGAAAAAAGTATTATTTTTTTCAAATTACGAGACAATTCTTTGGAAATATTCTTGTGACTCTACGAATACCAAAACTGGACTACACATGCAAGTGATATTTTAAATTTAAAAATGTCTTTTTCTATTTTTACTTTGAAAGCATTTGTAGACATGTATCTAGATATTGAGCGTGAGTATTAACAACAGGGGCCATCGGACTCACTTCCACATCTGGCTTTGCCACCCAGAATTTCTCTAACGTTGGCAAATGAGATAGTAAGGTCCTAACTGCAAATTTCAGGGTGAACGCAGAAGTTTTTCCTATCACCCTACTGACTGGACTTCAAAAGTAGCACTTATTACATTGTCTTGTGTTGTTTTCTTGGATCAACTAAATAATAAAAAATAGGAATGGTTCATCTAACTTCTATGATTTAACATATTACTTGCCTTAGGTTTGAAGCCCAAAACCCGGTTGAGCTTTATGATGATGCACGGTTTGCCCTCTTTGTAGCCATAAGATTCGTCATTCATTCCAGAGCAATTTCCCAGCCACTCAAGCTTGAATCTGCAGACCTTCCTCTCTCCCCGTTC